TTTAGCCTACCTTATCAAAAAGGAAAGAAAGGGCCCAAATCCATGCAATTAGGAATGAAAAGGGTAAAATTACAACACATCCAGCAGAAATCCCAAGGATCATTAATTCTACTTTGAGAACCTGTCCTTCAATAAGATGAAGAACACAAAAGAAATAGATTTCTAGATACTTCTGAATTACCAATGAACAAATGGGTATTCAGAGCCACAATTGATTTTTTTTTTTCAGTACCAGGGATTGAACTCTGGTCCTTGCACTTGTGAGGCAGGCAGTGGAACCACAGGAGGTCAATACTCAAAAATCAATAGCCTTCGTGTACACAAACAACAGACTCATTGAGAGGAACTGGGAAAACAACTCCTTTCATGATACAAACCCCAATGAAATACCTAAGAATCAATCTAACAAAGGAAGTAAAAGACCTCTACTGTGAAATGTATAGTACTCTGAAAAAAGAGATAAAAGAATACCAGAAAATGGAAAGACATATCTTGTTCTTGAGTAGGAAAAAACAATAGTGAAAATGGCAATATTTCCAAAACTGCTATATAGATTCAATGTAATTCCAACAGCATATTTCACAGAACTAGAGAAAATAAGCCAAACATTCATTTGGAACAAGAAGAGACCTAGAAGAGCAAGAGAAATTTTAGGCAAAAAAGACAGGACAAGGAGGTATCACAATCCCCAACTTGAAACTATACTATAAAGCTATTGCAATAAAAACAGCATGGTACTGGTAAGGAAACAGACCCAAGGATCAATGGAACAGATTAGAAGATGCAGAAACAATTCCAGACATAGCCACCTCCTCTTTGACAAAGGAGCCAGACACTTCCCTGGAAGGATAGCCAATGGTGGTGGGAAAACTGGGTTTCAACTTGCCAGAGATTAAAACTAGACCCATATCTTTCTCCATGCACTAAACTAAAATCAAAATAGATCAAAGATCTGAATATTAAAACAGAAACACTAAACCTGCTAGAAGATAGGTTAGCTAGAACTCTTGAAACTTTTGGTGTAGGAAAAGACTTTTGAATAAAGCCTCATTAGCACAGGGAACTAGTACAAAGAATCAACAACTGGGATCTCATCTTATTAAAAAGCTTCTGTACAACAAGATGAACCACCAACAGAGTGAAGAGACAACCTGCAATGTGGGAAATAATTTTTACCAAGTGTTCCTTAGACAAAGGACTACAATCTAGAATATATAAAGAACTTTTAAAAATCAGATCCCCCAAACTTAAAGATCCAATCTAAAAATGGGCTTCTGAAATAGACATTTCTCAGACAAAGTAGAAGCAAACAAACATGAAAAAGTGTTCCACATCACTGGTCATTCGAGAGATGCAAATGAAAATAATACTTCCATCTCACTCCAGAGGAATGGCTGCTATAGAAAAATCAACCAATAACAAATGCTGGCAGGGTATGGGGGAAAAGGAACCCTTCTCCACTGTTGGTGGAAGTATAGACTGCAACCATGAGAAATTGGTGTGGAGATTGCTAAAAAAACTACGATTATAAGTCCCATTTAACCCAGCTATTCCCCTGCTGGGTATCATACCAAAAGAATTAAAAGCATCATGGCACAGTGATAAATGCATACCCATTTTTGTAGAAGTACAAATAGCTAACTCTTTGTATAGTATGTATGTACAGTACAAATGTAATAGCCAAATCACTGGATAAGATGTGGGTTTTGTATACAATGGAGTACTTCTCAGCCATAAAGAATGATAGAGACATTTATAGCTAAATGGATGGACATTGAGACCAAACTGTTGAGTGAAATAAATAGGACATATGTGTAGTAAATGTCAAATTGTTTCTCTGTTGTGAGAAACTGAAAGGGTAAATGAGGACCAAAATGTACAATAGCTACTGTGAAATACAAAGGGAATGTTCAAAAGGGGAGGGGAACTAAAGTGGGGGATGGGGAAAGAAAAAAGGGAAAGGAAAGAACAGAAACAAAGCTTTTATAAACAGGGAGGGGTGGAGTGGTGGAAGGGAAGGAAGGGGAATGTGAAAAAACAAGAACCAAGATGTATCAGGTACAGGCACAAATTCCCAATGATGAAACTGATCAAAATGTTCATCTAAAATGTACCAAATAAACTTAATGAATTAAAAGGTGCTCATCAATAATGATTGCAAAATGGATCCAATATAGGTATGATCTTTAGTAAATCAATAAATCACCTATTCCTGTATTTCCTCACATGTCCTCTCCTGGTATCTTAGTAATTTCCATGAATTCTTCAAGGTTGCATGGATCACACAGTTGATATTGCTAGAAGCCGTGTCTTAAGATGCAATGTTGGCTCTTTAATAAAGGAGCCTCTGCAGATCTCTGCAAGGGACCAATGAAAGGAAAATGTTATTAACAAGATATCACAGAACCATCAACCTGCTTGATGCTGTAAAAATCATTGGAAAAGGCAAATATCCTTGCCAGTGAAATTGTCATTAATGTAGTCACTGCTTTGTCCATGTCTACAGTGAACACCTTGAAGGATAGCAAGACATAAAGTGTGTAGTAAAGAAGTTTACTAGCCAGGAGTGTAAGAGAGAAATTAAACATATAAAACCATCACAGAGCCATGCATAGGATTGAGGATTTTTCAGTTGTTTCCTGTATTTCAGAAGTGTACAATAACCCTTGAGAAATATGTGCACCCATATAATGTGACTTTTCTACATATCAAAAAATTTCAATGGTAACATCACTTCTAAAAGACTTTGTTTATATCCAAGAATTTATTTAACTCCAAATGAATCACCTTTATTATTCTCTGAGAATAATAAAGCAAATAGTCCTTAGAAGTGAGCCCAGAGTGCACTGATAAATATTTCTGGCCCTTTGTCACAGCTGTTCTGCCTGTATCATATGTGATCAGCAGGCCTCATGAAACCATACTCTAAATCACTGCCTTCTGTATCAAAACAGGGAAAGCACATATTTTTTGAGGTTGTTCTTTTTGTCTTAATATCCAAAATATATAAGTTCCCCGATATTAGACATTATAGAAATAATACATATTTTGCATTTGTCTTTTCATGTGTGCTGTGCTTATTTGCATAACATGCTTAGTGAATGTGCCTAAAATACAATAGACTACATGCATTTTTCATTTTTTAGGTCACTAAATGAATGGGGTGCTAAATGAGGACTCATATTACAGTATGTACTTTACAATATTCAGGACAAAGAAATGGTCAAAGGAAACTCCAACTTGGTGATTTTGCTTTTATTTGCATGACTCTTACATATGGCACTATAATATATAATGAAATATAAAGATACAGTTATGTACTCTACAGTACAAGAAGCAAAATGTAGAGTACTGTTTAAACAAGGTACACTGTATGTAAAGACATTGAGACTATCAATATGTTCAGAGCTGTATAAAAAAGATGAGTCATAGCTGGGCATGGTGGCGCATGCCTGTAATCGCACAACTCGGGAGGCTGAGGCAGGAGGATTGCTGTGAGTTTGAGACCAGCCTGGGCTACATATTAAGTTCTAGGTCAGTAGTGTCAACTACATAGTGAGACCCTGTCTCTCAAAAAAAAAAAAAAATGAGTCATATGTCTGAGTGGTGGATCATAAGTCAAACAACATGCCTCAATTGTAAATCAAAAGTCATTAAAACAAGTAGGTTGTTAAATGAGGACTATCTATATTTGGTTCAGTGTTTCAGATTAGGATATTTCGAGTATTTTCTGAAGTGCTGGTTTCATGGCTCTTGAGCTGGTCTTTTTCATGATACGTCCTTATTCCTCCATTTATTTTGAAAGAGAGCTTTGCTAGGTAAGTTAAACCTAGGTGGGTTGGAAGTTATTCACTCTCAGGGCTTGAAATACATCACTCCAAGCTCTTCTATCTGACCTTTAAAGTTTGTGTTAAGAAATATATATGTTGTAATTCTGATTGGTTTACCTTTATGGGTGAAGTTTTTGTTTCTCTGCTCTAAATTTTTGTTGTTAATGTTTTTGGATATCTGGCAGTGTAAGGATATGCCTTGATGAGCTTTTTTCATTATAGTTTTTTGATGTTATATAAGCCTCATTTACTTCTATTTTTCACTTTTCTCATCTTTGGGAATTTTTGTACTATGATTTCTGTAACATACTAATTCCATCTATGTTATTATCTAGCTTTTTCCCAACTCCCATTAGCTTTAGGTTAGTCTTTTTAGTGTAGTCTAGTAGCTGTTGTATGGTCTTTTCTTCTCTTTTTTGTGGTCTCTGAGTACGTCTGTCTATCCTCCCTGGGCTGGGTGCATAGCCCTAGCCTGTGGCTAGGTGTACAGCATTCAGTTGGTTTGTCTTTCCCCACCTTTCCCTTTCACCTTAGAAATTTACACCTTAGAAATTTTTATGTCTCTGGAGGGTGTTTCATGTCATTGAACTATAAGATGTTTTCCTTAATCTAATTTCATTGCTAGACATTCTCTAAGGAATACTATAATGCTTTTCTTTAGCATTTTAAATTACCATTCATGAATTTTACTTTGTGTTTAATTACATTTTGTCTATGAAATCAGTTTCAAGTTTCACAGTACTGTCTAAATATAATCAGAAGAGGAGGAATCTATTTCATAAATAATAATTTGAAAATAAGATATGTTTTCAGTGTTATATCATAGCAAATCATTAGATATTCATCTACCTCTGTTCTTTTTACCCCACATCTGACCTAATAGGCTCTCTCCACGAACCATGCTTACAGACAGTGTAGAAATAAAATGGATTAACCAGCAGGAGAACCAGTATTCCCATTCTGCTGTTTATTTAGCAGTGAATTTCCGTCTAGTATCAAAATCCTGTGTGACAGGTGCATGTGGATAAAGAATAAATGTTTAATGACCAAGGCATAAAGTAACCACTTGTGGGACTCAGCTCTTATTTCAGCTTTTTATGAATAGATTTGAGATATTTCATGTAGTAAATCTCACTCTTCCTGGAAATTTTTTTTCTGATGATTTAAAAGGCAGTGACCTTTGAGGATGTGGCTGTGAACTTCACTATGGAAGAGTGGGCTTTGTTGGATCTATCCCAGAAGAAGCTCTACAGAGATGTGATGTGGGAAAACTTTAGGAATGTGACTGCCATAGGTAAGGAAGATCTTATTTCTCATTTATGCAATCACAGAGTGTTTATTATTCCTCATTAGTGCAGTTTACTTTATTGGAATATGGAAATATTTTCATGATTCTTCTGGACATAGTCACATTCTACCATAAATCTTAATTAGAAGCTGAAAATTTTTATGTAATATGATAACTCATCATTACATTTCTTTTTCTATACTTTAGGGAGAAACATGGATGACCAGCAAATTGAAGATGAGTATAAACATTACAGGGAAAATCTAAGGTAATTTGAACTGCCAAGCATGTCACTCAAAAGTCAGAAATATTAAAACCAGGCAAAATATACAAATGAGGCCATGTGCACAAAGATACAGACAGCCAGGCATGGTGGCATGTTCCTGCAATCCCAGCACTTGGATGACTGAGGCAAGAGGATTGCCAGTAGTTTAAGGCCAACCTATGCTACAGAGTGAGTTCAAAGCTTGCCTGAACTATGTGTGGAGACTTTGTCTCAAAAGTCAAAAACACAAACAAAATGAAGCCATGTTCAAATTTCTTTAATTATACAAAATTTGTCCAGAGATGTATACATGTTTAGTATATAGAATTTGACAATTGAATACTTGAAATATCTCATCTGTCATGTAGGCAGTATTGACATTATGCCACAAGTAACGTTATCTACTATATGCTAAGTTATTTTCCATGCTCGAATATAAAACTGTTTTATGGAATTGTATGTAGGCATTGTTTGAAGGTATATATATAAATAATTGTGTTTAGTTGAGAGAGAGCCAAGTGCAGGACATCTTTAGTTTTTTTTTTTGTTTGTTTCTGTTTTTGTTTTTCCATTACTGGGGGATTGAACTCAGGACCTTGCGCTTGCAAAGCATGCACAGCACCACTTAGCTAAATCCCAGCCCAGGGCATCTAATTACATACACACACACACACACACACACACACACACACACACACACACACACAATTTTCAAAAGACTTTTATCAGATTATGTAAGTAATGCTATATGTATGTAAATGTGGTATACACATGCAATATTTGCAACATTGGTAACCTTGAAGTACTATTCAAAATCCAAATGAATATCAGTTTTAATAACTGTTTTCAAGCAATCCTCCAAAACATTTAGTCTACTTATGTTCTGAAATACAGTATTAGAAGGTACCTTCCCATAATGTTGGTGGAAATGTCATTGTAGTAAAACATCTACGGAAATGTGTAAAGAGGTTCCTCAGAAAAGTAAAAATAGAAATTTCATTTTATCCACTTAAACTACTGAGTGTATTCACCCAAAGTTAAAGTGTTATGGAAGGAATCAGCAAGTGATACACAAAGAGGCAGCAGAATGGAAGTAAAATAACAAATTTACTAATCGATAAGGGGCGATTGCACATAAGCCATGACTGGATTGACAACGCACTGGGTTACACATTCTCCTTTTAGAGTTTCACAGCCTTGACTTCATGTGGGTGGTTACATTTCATTCTCACAGTTCAAATCACGGTCACGGATAGTTACCTTTCAACCCAGACATAACAGTTCTTTGCAGTTGGGGAGTTTACCTTTAAAATTCACCTAATTATTATCTGTTCTAGAAAAAGGAAGGGGGTGTTCAGGGTCAGAGGAGCAAATGTTAGCAATGGGTTCTTTCATTTAGAAACTTTTACGATCAGGTGGCTCCATTCTCTGGGAGCTCAAGGCCTTGATGGGCCCTGTTATCTCAGGGTAAGGTCAATGCCTCCTTCAGCAATTAGTGCCTTCAGTGCCTGTTAGTTCTGAGATAAACAAAACAAACTGCTGTTAGAGACAGCAGAAGCCACTTTACATTGTAACACTTTATAGGTTTCTGCTATTTATAAAAATTTTCCCTATCAAAAGTAATCATACTACATTGATACATGCAAATCCATGTTTTTAGCAGTGAAACTTACCAAAATGAAATTCTAGAAATAGCCTAGCTGCCCATTCATAGATGAGTAGAAAAGAAAAGTGGGATATCCCGGGTGGGATGGAGCACACTGGGAAGCCGAGGCATATTCATGCTCAGCCTGGGTAATTTAATGATTGATGAGACTCGGTCTCATAATAAAAATAAATAACTCCGAGAGTGTAGCTCAGTGCTAACCCACTGGATTCAGTCTCCAGCACTGAATGAAATGAATGAATCTAGAACCCATTTTATGCTTTAAAAGATAAACAACAGAAAGTTAAATTTTATGTGTTGTATTTTGTATGAGAAATGCAAGATATGAATTAAGACGTAAAATGAAGGAGAGATGGTAGAAAAGAGAGAGGCAGATATTGTAGAGAGAGTGGAGAGGCCCAATGGAAGGGCAGGGTAAAATCTAGGAGAAAAAAGGCATGAAAACTGATCAACATATAGTACACATATGTATCAGTTGTTCAGAATGAAGGTAACCAGTATGTATTGCAAACAGCACTTCCAAACTCCAGAATGAATACTGTTTTATCTTTCACAGAGATGCAAAGGTAGATAAATACTGTCAATATAAATTGTGGAATCAGCATGGAGAAAAGGTTTTTATGACTCCTGATACAAATGTGCAAATCAAACTGCTTGGTATAAAACCAGGTGAAAGCCTTACATGGGCAAAGCCTCTGACTGGTCATTCCTCATCAACCATGCCCATCATGCATAACACTGGACTCAAATCGCACGAGCTCCATGGATTTGAACAGAAGTCCACTAACTTTCAGTCCTTTCAGAAACATGCAGAGACAAATCCTGAAGAAAAACCCCATGGATATAAACAATGTGGAAAACCCTACTCTGATTGCACTGAAGGAAGTACCACTGAAGAGAAATCCTTTGTATATGATCAAGATATGAGAACTTTCAGTACACCCAACCATGTTCAAATCCAGGAAAGAAATTACAGTATGGTAAATACCTGTATATCTATACAATGTGAAAAAGGGTTGAATTCTCACCATGATATTCAGAAATGTGAAAGAGCTCACACTGGGACAAAATCCTATGTATATAAACACTGTTGCAAATCCTTAAAAAATACCACTTCATTTGATAATGACAACAGAACTCACATTGGAGGAAAAACCTACCTATGTAAGCAATGTGGGAAAGCTTTCAGCACACACAGCAATTGTCAAATACATGAAAGGACCCATGCTGGGGAGAAACCGTATATATGTAAGCAATGTGGGAAAGCCTTCAGCAAACAGAGTCATTGTCAAAGACATGAACAAACTCACACTGGGGAGAAACCCTATGTCTGTAAGCACTGTGGGAAAACTTTCACCAGACACAGTTATTGTCACATACATGAAAGGACTCACACTGGTGACAAATCCTATGTGTGTAAGCAATGTGGGAAAGCTTTCAGCATACAGAGTCATTGTCGAAGACATGAACAAACTCATACTGGGGAGAAACCCTATGTATGTAAGCACTGTGGGAAAGCTTTCACCACACACAGTTACTGTCAAATACATGAAAGGACTCACACTGAAGACAAATCTTACATATGTAAACAATGTGGGAAAGCTTTCAGCACACACAGTAATTGTCAAAGACATGAACAAACACACACTGGGGAGAAACCCTATGTATGTAATCACTGTGGGAAAGCTTTCAGGACACAGACTAATTGTAAAAAACACGAAAGAACTCATACTGGGGAGAAACCCTATGTCTGTAAGCAATGTGGGAAAGCTTTCAGCACAAAGAGTCATTGTCGAAACCATGAAAAAACTCATACGGGGGAGAAACCCTATGTATGTAAGCACTGTGGGAAAGCTTTCACCACACACAGTTATTGTCAAATACACGAAAGGACTCACACTGGGGAGAAACCCTATATATGTAAGCAATGTGGGAAAGCTTTTACCACACACAGTTATTGTCAAATACATGAAATGACTCACACTGGGGAGAAGCCCTATGTATGTAAACATTGTGGGAAAGCTTTCAGGACACATAGTTCTTGTCAAGTTCATGAAAGGGCCCACACTGGAGAGAAGCCCTATGCATGTAAGCAATGTGGGAAAGCTTTCAGGACACGAAGTTCTTGTCAAATACATGAACAAACTCACACTGGGGAGAAATCCTATATATGTAAGCAATGTGGGAAAGCTTTCAGCACACACAGTTCTTGTCAAAGACATGAACAAACTCACACTGGGGAGAAATCCTATATATGCAAGCAATGTGGGAAAGCTTTTACAACATATGGTTATTGTCAAAGGCATGAAAGGACTCACACTGGGGAGAAACCCTACATATGTAAGCAATGTGGGAAAGCTTTCAGGACACAGACTCATTGTAAAAAACATGAAAGGACTCATACTAGGGAGAAACCCTATGTATGTAAGCAATGTGGGAAAGCTTTCAGCACAAACATCTATTGTCAAAGACATGAACGAACTCACCCTGGGGAGAAACCCTATGTATGTAAGCAATGTGGGAAAGCTTTCAGGACACATTTTAATTGTAAGGTACATGAAAGGACCCACACTGGGGAGAAACCCTATGCATGCAAGCAATGTGGGAAAGCTTTCTGCACGCAGAGTCATTGTAAAATACATGAAAGGATTCACACTGGAGAGAAACCCTATGTATGTAAGCAGTGTGGAAAAGCCTTTATGACACAGAGTCATTGTAAAAAACATGAAAAGACTCACACTAGGGAGAAACCCTATATATGTAAGCAATGTGGGAAAGCTTTCAGCTGGCACAGTGAATGTAAAATACATGAAAGAACTCACACTGGGGAGAAAGTCTATGTATGTAACCAATGTGGGAAAGCTTTTAGCTGGTACAGTATATATAAAATTCATGAAAGGACTCACACTGGGGAGAAACCTTATGCATGTAATCAGTGTGGGAAGGCTTACAGTAGGCACAGTGACTGTAAAATACATGAAAGGACTCACACTGGGGAGAAACCCTATGTATGTAAGCAATGTGGGAAAGGTTTCAGGACACAGAGTCATTGTAAAACGCATGAAAAGATTCACACTGGGGAGAAACCTTATGCATGTAATCAGTGTGGGAAGGCTTACAGTAGGCACAGTGACTGTAAAATACATGAAAGGACTCACACTGGGGAGAAACCCTATGTATGTAAGCAATGTGGGAAAGGTTTCAGGACACAGAGTCATTGTAAAACGCATGAAAAGATTCACACTGGGGAGAAACCTTATGCATGTAACCAATGTGGGAAAGCTTTCAGCAGGCACAGTTCTTGTCAAATACATGAACAAACACACACTGGGGAGAAGCCCTATATATGTAAGCAATGTGGGAAAGCTTTCAGCATACAAAGATATTGTCAAAGACATGAACGGTCTCACACTGGAGAGAAACCCTATGTATGTAAGCAATGTGGGAAAGCTTTCAGGACACACAGTGATTGTCAAAGACATGAACAAACTCACACTGGGGAGAAACCCTATGTATGTAAACAATGTGGGAAAGCTTTCAGGACACAAAGTAATTGTAAAATACATGAAAGAACTCATACTGGGGAGAAACCCTATGTATGTAAGCAATGTGGGAAAGCTTTTACCAGACATAGTCGTTGCCAGAAACATGAAAGCACACACACTGGGGAGAAACCCTGTGCATGAAAGCAATGTGGGAAAACTTTCAGCACATGAAAGGATTGTCAGAGACATGAAAGGAATTACACACAAGTGTAAAAACTCTGTATGTAAGTAGTATGGAAAAGTTACTATAGTAATCATCATAGACATTTAAAAATGAGAGGAAATTAACTTTGAATATATAAAGTACCTTGTACTGACATGAAAGAACAGTACAAAGAAGCCTTTTCTTTGAATGAAATATAATAAAATCAGTTTACAGATTATTTCATATGTGAAAGAATTCATAGAACGGAGAATCTGAATGTGAACAATGTGGGAAATGTTTTATTTTTCTCAGTGCATTCAAGTTCATGAAATAATTTACATGAAAGGGAAGCCATATGTATACAATAAATAAGGGAAACCCTTCCACTTACCTTGAAAAAATATGAAAGAATTACCATTGAAGAGAAAGCCAATGTCAGTAATTTGTGAAAACTTTTTATGAGTCTCATACCATCAGAATATATGCACAAACTCAAAATGAAATTTAGTGTAAATACTGAATATGAGAAAGCTAAGAATCAGAGTGACAGAGAGAAAATATGCTAGGAATAAGATACACTGTTTGAAAGTTTGTGTACAGAGACAGTCTTCCTCCAATTTGTGAATTAATGCTCTAATGAAGTTGAAAAGCACATAATAATGTTAAATTCAGAATAACAAGGCACCTTGCATCCAAGTCTTCAGTCCATGGCCTTTAAGAAATGTTTTACATGCCAACCATCATCTTAGTTATATGGGTAAAGTGAAGTTTATTCATACAATGAAATGTTATTCAGTCTTAAAAGAAACCCTTCATTTGTGACAATGTAGACTAACCAAGAGGTTATTACATGAAATATGCTGTGCATAGACAAAGCTTGATCATATCTATTTTTAGCATCTAAAATTGTCAACTTTAAAGAAGCAGAGAGTTTAATGACAGTTGCCATATGTGTGGGTGGGGAAGTTGAGAGATGTTAATGAGAAAGAACAATGTTCCTCTTGTAGAGGACAAAATGGCATAGATACCATAGTGATAACAGTGATGCAGTGCCCCATAGCATTACAAATTGTTAAAAGTTGTTTTTAGTATTTCTTCATATGCCCAAAAGGTAATTGTGTTAGGTGATGCAAATGCAACCTAGAATGGTAATTTCACAGTATAAACAGCAATAAATGGCACTGTAAATGTTCAATTTATGATTTTGTTATGTTCAGTGAAATGAATAAAATTAAATGTAGCAATAATAACATGACTATGGCTTCATGATGTGTCCACAGATGCTCCTTCAATTTTTGCAAATGTAATTTAGTTTATACTGTGTTTATTTCTGAAAGCATTCAGTATTTTAGTGAAATTTATACTTGTTTGGAAATGTAAATGTTTTTGAGGTTATAATTTGGAAACTGTACATTACCATGGGTTCATTTCCTCCCATTTTGACAAAAAGTTGTTATATATGTGTTCAGAAAATTTTCTACACTTTAAAAGCACTTAAGCTTGTTTGTCTGATTCACATTAATTTTTCAAAGTGTATCTATTTTCCTGCAAATATCTTGAATTTATCCTTTGTAGATGAGTAATATTCCATTATGAATAGATACCATGTTTTCTTCATCTGTTAATGGGCAGAAAAAGAGCCCTTTGGCAAATGGGAAGAGCATCAGGATGGGAAGAAGGGGGCATAACAAAATTTAATGTCATATACCAACCACACAATGAATGCAATCTTTATACATCACAAACTAAATAGTGATAATATTAATTATGATGATGATGAAATAGGGAAAGGGGGAATTTAACATGGCTGACTCACATTGGACCTACTCAAAGAAAAATCAACTAAAATCAGGTAATTGTAAGAAAGGGAGAGACATACATCCTGATGACAAAGCCAATCTGAAATAAAAGACTAGTAGATCAAATAAAACATAGGCACAGGACTTCATAAAATGGTGCATCAGCCCACAGGGCTGCCAGCAGTGTGGGCAGTGCTCAACAAGAATCACCATACTGCCGGGGCATGGTGGTGCATGCCTGTAATCCCAGCACTCGGGAGGCTGAGGCAGGAGGATCGCTGTGAGTTCCAGACCAGCCTGGGCTACATAGTGAGTTCCAGGTCAGTCTCAACTACATAGTGTGACCCTGTCTCAAACCCCCCCCCCCAAAAGTCACCGTACTAAGAACTCCCCAAGAAACTGATGGACTAAGCGATGCTTGATGCCATTGATATTGCTAATTGTATTACTTTAGCTAGGATGTAATCAGTTGTAACCTGTTGTAATCACTTGTTCTCCCTTTTATGACAGCACTCTGATTGCCTGGGACCATCACTATAGTCCAGTAACAAAGTGCTGGGTGCTAAGCCAAATAAATAGCAATTTTTGATCCTTAATAAATTGGGAAGTTGGATCTTGGGGCAGACACAAATACCAAGAACTACATACACCCAGAAGATATCCCTGAAAAATAGATATTTCCTAGGGAAACCGTACTACTAGTGATAAAGCTATCTGCCATAGAAATTTACAGGCATCAACACAGAAAACAAAATGAAATTTAAAAATACAAAATGATGGATCTTCCATTAGAGCACACTGGTGAGGACTGGCCAGCCAATGCAGCAAGCTAAGCAGCTTTCCCACCCTCCAGTGCCCCAGGCTTCATCAGAGAAGACTGGTGAGGAATGCCCAGCCAACGGGAGAGCTAAGCAGCTTCCCCACTCTCCAGTGAATTGGGCCTTCATTGGAGCAGACGAGGGAGGACTGCCCAGCCTTGCAGGTGCCCCTGCAGCTCTCAGGTCTACTGGTTGTGCTGGTACCTGAATCCACACTTCAGAGGCACAGGGGTCATAAAGGCCACTGTACTGAGCTCCCGAAGATAAAACGGAAGTACACAACTACAATAAAGGTACACCAGACCTCCACAGTTAGTAAGTTGAAGGGATCACCACCTTCCAATTTTTATTTTTAAAAATATTTTCCCACTCTTCAAATTCTTCATTTTATCTTTCTTCTTTTTCCCACTCAGTCTCTTGCTCCCCCACATTGTTCTTCATCTCCCTTTTTGTTCCTGTTCCTGCCCTAATTCGGATTTCTTCTTTCTTTTGCTTTTCCTCTCTTTAGCCTTCTCTCGATTGTCATTAGTTTAAAAGGAAATTGAGCACAATTTATAGCTTCCCTATAGTTGTTTTTCTATTCTTGTTTTTGTTCTTGCACTCTGTCTTTCCCTGTTGTCAAAAGTTTCCTAGAGTTTGCGTGATCATCCTGTGTCCTCTTGCTTCACTTGAAACCTCCTATCCTTCTACCTATCTATTCTTCTCCTCCAAACTCCTTCTAAGTCCCCATCCTGAAGGGTAAAGTTGCTATATTGAATAGTTTATTTACTCTAAACATATTTTGGGCTGGTCCTTGATTTTATTTGATTGACATGGTTGAAGGTGATCGATTAATAACTACCACAAATGGTCAATTTCTAAGCTGTGCTTGATGCTAATTTGTTGCTGATTGTATCGATTGGGCTGAAGGGTTGTGATTGATTTAATGAGAAGTCCTTTCTGATATTATGAAAATGAGAGTGTCTCTGAGTCATTATAGAGTCAAAACCTAAAGAGCACCTATATCAGGAAGATTGAAGTACTAACCCAGTACTAACCCCTAAACCAAGGACAGCACCAACAACAAAAATAAAAATGAGAAAATACTTAAGCAAGGTACAAAAACAGACTTCTAGTTCACCAATGGCAAATTCTAAGGGAAATGAGGTGGAAATATCTGACAATCAACCAGCAAGACACCCTGAACTCATAGCACACAAAACAGATCAATCAGGCTCTAGAAAAATTAAAAACAAATAATTTCCCAGATAACTACAGAGATAGCACAATGAAAGACATGATTAGAGACTCTAGAACAGAAACTGACAAAAAAAAAAAAAAAAAAAAAAAAAAAAAAAAAAAAAAAAAAAAAAGATGAGCCCAGGACCATGATAGACACCATGAATGCCCAGCAAAGGAAAGAAATGGAATCCATGAAACAGATTCAAACATATATCCAGGAGATTAAAAATTCTATTGAAAGCATTTGCAGCAGAATGAATGCATGTGATGATAGAATTGCAGATATACAATATAGGATTGCCGTCAGTGACCATGAAAAGAGTGATCTCTTAAAAACAGAAATGGATCATGAGAAAATGATCCAACAACTCCCAGATGATGCAAAGAAGAACAACATAAGACTGATAAGAATCTATGAAGTAGCAGGAGAAAATACAAATGACATTAAAAAGAACTGTTCACTGAATTAATGAGAGAAAACTTCCCAAACAGAAGGGAGGAATTTGATATACAGATAAGTGAGGCATATAGTATTCCAAGTAGCCATGATCAAAAACCTCTACACCTAGACATATAATAGTCAAGATATCAGAAACCCAACAAAAGAACTGCTACTGACCGTAGGGGAGCAAAGACTGGATTTCACGAGAACAGGGAGCTTCAGAAAGGTGGGAGCAGGTTTGGCGGTGACAGTCAGAAACCACACAGCACTGAGTAGTGAAGGTAGTAGCTGCTGCAATTTTATTTCTAACTCTAGGTGTATATATACTAGTTTCAAGGGCACACCTCAAGAGTGATTTCAGTCACAAGCAGGCATGAGAAAGATAGACAATAGTACTGTAAAAGCTAAGACCACAAGGTCAAGGTAAGACCACACCTATATACAATCACAAAAGCTAAGACCACTAAGTCAAGGTAAGACCACACCTATACGCAGTCAGAAGGAAAAGTTTGTAAAACAAAGGACTGGCTTCAGCATGTCACCTTCAGGATCACCTTCAGGACTTCACAGTCCGGGGCTCAGGGTCAGCACTTTGGCCACCTGTCCTCTTGTGCCCCAACACCTCCCCATCTCTAGAAACATCTAATTGTTCCTGATCTTTCCTGGGCCCAGAATACAATTCTACAGATAATGAACAAATAGTAATAAAGACAAAATAGAACAGAATTATAAATGAACCCAATGTCCCCAAACTGCAGGCAGAGAGGCCAGCTATTCTCTTCACGGCTGA